TCACTCATACACATACAATACGAATGTTCTCAGCAACAAAACAAACTATACACAAAACAAAAACAATTTAATTTAGTTGCTCTCTTTATGAAATGATACACAGATAATATTTTCAAAAGCCGCCACAAATAAATGTTTGTATAAATACTTTTGATAGATAGATTTATTATGTAAATAATTTTTTACAATTATATTTGTATTGTCATTTATTCAAGCAATTAATCGCCAAAATTTTATCGATTAACGGTTAATCATTTGAACACTTATAGACGGACATACATACATACATATGTACATAAATACATCAACATATGCATTAATTGATGTAAGAATATCAATATATGCATCAATACATCGTTTCGTCAATACATACATACATCGATGTATACATTCCCTCTGTTGTTCATTTATAATACAAATAATATGAATAACACAAATAAGTACAAACATATAGTTTTTTTCAGTGCAAAGCACACATATTTTCATTTATGTTCTCTTTCATATTTTACACTACACATATGCATTTTAAAAACTCTCTTTCTGGCCACCAATGTTTTAAACGTTTGCTTTAGGTCTGCAATATGTGTTTCTAAATCTTTCGAACATAATATTATATCATCCAGATATGCCAAAATTAAAATATTTGGTAAGCCATTACGGAATTTGTCGATTAACCTTTGAAAGGTGGCTGGGGCATTTTTTAACCCAAATGGCATTCGATTAAATACAAATATTCCGAATGGAGTTGTAAAGGCAGTTTTAAGTTTGTCTTTTTCTGCTATTTTTATTTGCCAATAACCAGAACGCAAGTCTAAAGTATACATAAATGGGGTTGTTTTAGCTGAGTGTAATAGATCATCAATCCGCGGTAGTGGATATGTATCTGTTGTTGTTAGTGCGTTTAACCGGCGATAATCGACACATAATCTCACTGTGCCATCCTTTTTAGGTATCAACACTACCGGAAATGCCCATGGCGATTCCATTTCCTCTATTACACCCTTACTGAGCATGCTATCTATTTCCTGTTTTAGCAAAATTTTCATTTTTGGTGAAATTTTGTAAGTAGGATTTGAAATTGGGTCATGTGAACCTGTTTTTAGGAAGTGTTCTACATTAGAAATCTGTATTTCAATATCCTCAAATATTTCTTTTTCGGAATCTAGTAAATTTTCTAGAATTTCTCTGTGATTTTCAGATAAGTGAGGGGATTGATTTATTTTATTTCGATTGAATTTAACTCTATTGGTTTAAATATGTTATCACAATACTCATTGTATTTAACCTTTTTTAGGGGAGGAAATAAATTTGAGTTTTTGGGTGACTCTATGTCTTCTGGAATTGAGTTTCAAAGATTTTCTTAATACCACCTGGTGAGTAATCATTATTACCAGGACAATAAATCTTTTACCTCATTTGGAACAACAAAATTTTTATGTCGGTCATCCTTATAATGCCATATACGTTGGGCTAAGTCTAGAACTATACCATTTTCTTCCAGGAAATCAATCCCAATCAAAGTTCTATTGCCTGTAGCTTTTGGTAGACAGATGAATTTGATTTTCGTGAACCGATTACCAATTATTATGTGGACTTTACATCTTGTCTTGTGGTCAGACCACCTAAAAGTTCTCTGAACTGAACGTCAGTTAAAACCATGTTAACTGGGGTTTGGAAGGCTTGATGCCGAAACATTACTTTGGGCCGCGTGGACTTCTACGCCACCATTTTGTGTTTGGCTTAGGCCACCATTTTGTGATGGACGTGGATTATTTGGACTATCTGTGATAGTGGAATTGTTACAAGGACTGCGTCTCATTTTGAACGAATACCGAAAAATATTTTGAAAACAATATAGGGGAACCCAGACTTTTTTTAGCTGCTTATACTAAGATGTATTTATCTCTTCAAACAACAATAACCAATTAGTGGAGATCGACGAAACAACAACAACAACGAAGACGATGAAACATTGCAAAACAACAACAATGATGAACAATTTCAAAAAGAACAGCAACGATGATGCAATGCACTTTAGCAAAGATGACGTACTGGTGTCTTCACACTGGGGTTTTCAAATTCGTCAAATCAGGATCAAACAATCTTCTCGTAGTCCAATTAAAAATTTCCGTTGGGCGCCAGTTGCAGGAAAGAGGAATAAACCTTCTGTCCTAGGTTTGTAGGAAGGAGGAATAAACCCTCTGTCCTAGGTTGTATTTTGTTATTTTATTGTTTTATTTATTATCTAGTAAACCCAAGCCAGTCGATAAACGTCTAAGCTGGGTTATACTATTTATTTATTGTAATAAAGGAACAAATCGGACTATTAAAGTCTAAAAATGTCCACTTTATCTTAATTTAATTTAATTTTAATTTTGATCAGTTGGCAGTTTATATGGGAATGAATTTTATTTTACAAAATATTTAAAGCTAAGCTTCAAAACAAATCAATAAAATAATACCGTTAATTTTTTAAACAAAATAATGAGAATTGATTGATTTACATGAGCGCATTTTTACAGAGTATTACCTTGTAAGAAACAAAACATAATAAGAATGTAAAACAAAAGAACATTGAGAAACAATTGCATAGAAATATGTATGTACGTAAGTATGTAAACAAAAGAATCAAACAATGAGAGTAATGAGTGAAATGAAAACAAAGTAATTAAGAAACAATATGTAAAAAGTAAATGAGAAATAATATTTATGAGTTATTAAAATTAAAAATATAAATATGAGATCAATTTTATAGTCAAACATATTTGAATAAATGCACTCATAAAATAAAAGAAATTTAAATTGAACGGAAGCAAATTAATTAAATGTAAATTTAATTTAATAATAATGAAATAATAACTTATTTAATAATAATAATGTTGTTCCGCTACAATATGTATTTGTGTTGCATCTTACGTTGATATTTTACTTTAGCAAAGAGAATCGGTTAAGAGAATCGGTTTGAGATATAATTCTTTTAGTTTGTCAAGTAAAAAAAGGCGTTTTTCCAATATCTTTCGATTTTTAGGGTATATGAAGATTCTAAAAATGGTAAAATGATCTACTCATCTAGGTGTATAAAAAGCATTATATCGGGTAATGAGTGTTTTTGAGTGTCACACACGTTTTTTTTATCCCAAGGACGAAAATGAAAATGTTTAAAATTGGTCCATTATTTTACCTCGAACCCATACAACAGAACCCTCTGAAAAGGGATTTTGAGCTCATAATTATGTTAAATATATGTACATGTATCTCAATAAAAAGCGGCACAACTAAGTTTTATACCTTGCTAAATTTCATAACGATTGGGCCTCATTTGACTCTAGCTCTTACAAAGCCCCCTTCAGAAAATGACTTGAATGTCCAATATTCACTTATAAACATTCACGACAAATAAATATTATATAAATATAAATCAATTTAGCAAATTTTATCAGGATCGGTTTTATTTGCGCCTAGCCCCCAATAAATTTCTTAAATATATCGGAACCAAGGTAATATCCAAGAAAAATATGTGCTTTATTATGAAAAATAAATCACATTTACATATATTCTTAACTGGTAGGGTATCATATGGCCAAGCCGGATTATAATTTCTTTCTTGTCATATAAGTATAGAGATAAAGAAAAACTATCTCAAACCTGTAAACCTGTCAGTATACTAATCAATGTACATATGAACTGTTAAGAGTTTTTGGATTGGATAAAAAGGTAATCCTAAAAAGTACTATTTTTGGTAAAAATTATTACTGCTTATGTGGTTATAACATTTGAGAATACAAATAAAAATTTTACTTTTGTTCTTTTAAAGGTAAGTAAAAATTTGACCGATGTCTGTAGTCCTTTTCACTTTTTTGTCAGAAGTACAAATTTAAATAATTATTGTATTAATGAAATAAACATATTTAAAGTGTACAAAATCATTGGTATACCATAGTACTTCTAAAGATCCAGAAACCTTGTTTTGAATCGTCCAAGGTTCGGGGATTAAAGCTTACCTATATTTATTTTAGCCATCAAAGCGTTGGTAGCAGTCTCGTTTCGGTGAATAACCTCAATCATGGTCATCCATTAAACTGTCTTCTAGCGAGTTGGTGATCACCTCCTCGCTCTTTGGATTTGACTCCTCCGGATAGTCTGAATTGTCTACTGATGCAGTGGGTACTATTGCAGTCTTTTTAACGGGCACCTTCCCAATTTTGGAAAGGACCGCTGCTCTGTCTTTTGACAAGTGAGTGATTTCCTCCTCGCTTTTAGGATTTGACTCTACAACGTTACCAGTACTGGCTAATGATGTTGACGCCGTCTTAGGCCTTCCCAATTTTGGAAAGAGCAGTTGCACTTTTTTCCTGTCGAGTTAGAAGTAATCTCCTAGCTTTTAGGATTTGACTCCTCAACGTTACCAGTAGGTATAGGTATTTTAATGGCTCTTTTCCTTTTCCACCGTCTAGCTTCTCCACCCATTGGAAAATTTGGATAGAATCCTGGATAGAAATGCTCGTAACTTTGGTGTATGTTGTATTTTGCGTTCATGTACACTATGTGACATAACGTCCATGGACATTATTACACTGGGCATTAGAGCACGTCATCTTGAACTGGAACTTTTAGTTCTGTCGTAACGTTCACAAACATTATGACAGTGGAACACTTGTCTAGAATTTAAGAAATAAGTACTCTGTTTCCTACTAACGAAAACACGATATAATAAGAAGTAGAAAGTATAGTCGGGCCAAAAACATATATGGTCCAAATTAGTATCAAATTGCGGCCTGTACCTTGCGCACAAGGTTTGCATAAATAGCCTGACTAATGGACAGACATGTCTTAATCGACTCTGAAAGTAATTCGGAGGTATACTTAAAGGTGGGTGTAGGACTAATATTCTTCTGCGTTGCAAACATCAACACAAATGCATAACACCTCCCCACTATTGTGGTGTAGGGTATAATAAACCTTGAAGTTGATAAATATAGAATTTTAATAAAAGTACATACCAAAATACAAATTCTGGTATTTCCGTGGCTTTTCTTAGTTTACATTCTAGTCTTAAAGTTGAGCCTTCATCAATGTGTATATCTGGAGATCCAGTTATTTCAGCTTCTGCCTCTGCAAAAAAGGAAAACAATATAGGAATTGTGAATAAATCGAAACATTCTTGTAAAAGGTTTTCATTAAATCTATGTTTATAAAAAGTACTAACTAAATACAGTGTACTCTCGAAAACGTCCATCATCACTTTCTCCCTCCAGTTCAATTACATAACTTCCATTATTATTATCTAAATAATATTGTTTCCATTCTTCATAATAATAATCAAACTTAATCATTCAAACAATGACGCAAATCAAGCAATGACATTCCGTTGTGAATTAACTGATTCGTTTTTAATTTACGAAAATCGAACGGCAACCTAACGGTCAAACTAGCAACTTACACAGGTATTCCTAAGTCAAAAACGAATCTGATGAATCTAACTGTGCCTTTCAGTAGTAACAAATGTATTTCAAAGTAAAGAAATATGAACCAAAACAAGATAACAGTACTCCGAAAGTCGTGTTTATTAAAGAAAATAAAAATCAAATTTTTACTCAAAAATATAGGATACTATTTGATTCCAAGGTTTTTTTGTTATCACAGCATAAACTCGCATTTCGATGTTTGGCGCTCAGATGGTCCAAAAATATGATCTCTTGACTTTTATTTTTGGAAATAGTATTAATGAAATTTAATAAAAATTATTACAAAAATATGTACTAAAATATTAGCAAAACCAAAAATGTTTACTTTAGAAATGAGCTAAAAGTACTAATTTTCCCCTTTCGGATCCAAGTTACGAATGAAAGATATAGGTATTGACGCTTCCTATTGTAAATCTTTATATTTCCAGATTAGTCATGTTTCAACTGACGTGGTTGAACATGTGCAAAAGTTAGTAAAAAGTACTAAAAATACAATTGTTTTCCCGTTTTTACCCTTGTAGTTTGCATTTTTCTCAAGATTGATTTTTCTCGTTTAAAGTATTTTTTTCCTTAAATTTAAAATTTTGATGAGTCATTTATTTTTACAAATGAATGTAGTATGTGTCTTTCTGGTCCAAGTTAACAAAATTATATTGTACATTGACGTTTCTATAACTTTACCTTTAATAGTTACAAAATTCTGTGAGACGTGGGCTTATCCATTGTCTTTTTAGGTTCTATTTGTATTTGATTCAAATAAAGCTAGTTCACTTTTAACTACACAGATTGTTAGTTTTTCATTTTTTTCTAATTTTCATTTATTTTTATAATTTTATAATTTTTCTTAAAAAAAATTCGCTGACAAACGGGATAATTGGTTATTATCATTCAGAGGCCGAATTAAGTAATTCAACTCCTCCGTGTGAACTTGGTATTAATATAGTGTGGAATAGGGGATCATGCTTCGATTTTTAAGTTATTTAGTAAGAGTTAGCTTAAACAAAAAATTAGAGGTAGAGCGAAAAAGATATAGTTCTTCGTTTGCCTGACACTGCTTTAAAATAATCTAATTTCAACACATTAGCCCAAAGTTATAAAGTTGCATCGCTAAACAGCTGACTATTTAACTAGATATTAATACCAAGTTGTCAAAGTTTATTTTGAAAATGGGCCACTTGTATGTGGGCTATGCGAAAACGTGGACCGATATTTCCCATTTTCAATACCAAATAAACCTTATAAGAAATATTTGTGGAAAATTTCAACTCTCTAGCTCTTTCCCTTCGGACTCTATTGTGCTTTCAACAAACAGACACACGGACAGACGGACAGACATGACTAGATCTTCTTAGAATATAATAAGAACCCAGAATATATATACTTTTGTGGGTCTATGATCAATTTCGATGTGTTACAAACGGAATGACAAAATCAATGTAGGTACCCCCATCTTTTTTGATGGTGGGTATGAAAAGTGAATTAAAAGTTGTTTTAAAGTGGTTTAAAAGTCCTATAATTTATATAATTGTCCGATTCACAACTGGTCTTTGTATTTTGTATCGTTTATTAAAGAATTCCGATATCTGTTTGTGAACAGCCAATTGTATTGTAAAAAGCCATGTTGTAAAAAAGAAAGAAAAACATGTTCAATATTTATAACAAGTGAGAAAGTATAGTCGGGCGTGGCCGACCATATGATACCCTACACCAGTTATGAATATTAAATGTGATTTATTTTTTCATAATCAATCATTTGTTTGGACAGACAGCCAGCCAGCCAGCCATACGGACGGACGGACATAGCTTAATCGACTCAGAAAATGAAGGTGGGGATAGGACGAATATTTTTGTATGTTACAAACATCGCCACAAACCCAATATACCCTCCCCACTAAAGTGGTGTAGGGTATAATTGAAAAACTAAAGTAATTATATCACAAATATAAATTATTTTTCATTTTATTTCACTTTAGCACTTTTTTAAATGTTTACTTTATGAAATAATTCTTCTTCTGTTTTATCTTCTTTAAAATTGGGCATTCAAATGAGAATCATAGTTTGACATTGAATACGAAATAAATAAACATATGAAAAACAAACGTAAAATTATGCCAGAGGAGCTCAAGATAGCACGCGTGATAGGGTAAGAAAATTCTACTGACGCTAAGTTGATACACATACACTATAGGTTTAATTCTTCTTCTTTTTATAATGAGCAATATCAGTTGGTTTGTTCTCATCTTGAAAAACAAAATCAAATCAGTTGCTGATCAGCACTTGTTGAAGCAAGGTTTGTGCGCGACGCTTTTAAAATACACACAGAAATACAACAACAAAATTTTAAGAAAGCCGAATTAATGTAGGAGAACATGAGAGAACAGTTGATACTTTTTTATATATAGACTTTGATATACGCTGGCTGTCATAAATCCATAATAAATATTTGACAGTTAGCATATACTTTATAGTTTGTAGTCATTTTATTTGTATACTTTTATTTTGAATTGAATTCAGTTCTCTGCTGCTTTACCAACACAAATAAAATTATGGTAGTCTATGGTAGTATGTGTTTGAGCACCACTGAATTATACGAGCTTTGTTAATTGAAATTACCAACAACATTTATACACAAGTGTAAACTAATACAAAAATACACACGATACGTAGATACACTAGGATTGTGAATTGGACAAATGTATAATAAAATAATTATATCCTTGATTTTTTAAACTTAAAAGTAAATTTGTTTTTATCTTTTCTTCACATTGTTGTTAAAAGAAATTTATGTTCAATTTTATAAAGAAATGCCATATGAATTTGACACAATCCACAGTGGGGCAGAATCGAAATTTTTTGGAAATAAATTTGGCATTTCTAAACGGCTAATCCGATCGGGATAAAATTTGGCGTAGCCAAGGAGTATTCGAGTTTAAGTTTTGAAGATGAACTCCGCAGATGCCCCAGGGACGGCGCTGTGGCGGCTCAAAGTAGGGTACCTACGACATGTAAAATTTTTAAACTCGTGAAATTTTTTTTTCATCCAAATACAAAGATTTTTATATTTTCTGAGAGCGCTCGACGAGATCTTGAAACATGCTTGGACATACTACTTATCTCTTATAATATCCGAGTTATAGGCATTTAAAAATTTAGTGATACAAAATTTACCATACCTTGGTCCGCCTTTTTTTGAATACCGGCGTAATTTTGGACAAAATGGACTAAATTTTTTCTTGTTAGTTAGACAACAAAATTTCCAAAATAAATTTCAGATCAATATCATTTACAGATCCAAAAATATACGTTTTTTAATTTAAAAATTCAAAATATTTTAGATTTTTGCCGTTTTTTTGCCAAAAATGTGTCTTAACTCTTTCATTAATAAAATAAAATTTTCTTTAAGAACATATAACAATTTTATAGTTTTCTAAAAGGTATCTTTACGCAGAACGCTTTGGCGTAAAATTTTTTGAAAATGTTGCCACTGCGTCCTTCCAAATATGACCTATTTTTTATCAAAACTTCAACTTTGGGCGATATGTTCTAAAATCCCAAAGCTGGGATCAGAAAACTGAAAGCAGTTTTGGAAACCTCAATATGTTTTCTATTTACTCCAAAAGTATTTTCTCAGCCCTGAAAGAAATGTGGACCCTATGGGCAAAAAAGTAAAAAATCCCATTTTTTTGGATTTTCATTCCTATTTTTGGGAATTGCGGGATGCCCTTTGACCTTTTCATTTTTTTTTTTGCATTTTCTTATTTGAAATGACAAATTTAACAAGCGTTGAAAATTTCATTGAGTTTTGTTCATAAATAAAGATTTTGTCTTATATTACATATTTGTTAAATTTCTAAAACTATGATTTATATCAAAATTTTAATAGGGTCGCAGATTGCTACAACAATTTAGTCCATATTTATCCCTTAATATCTTTTTTTAGTTAGATATGGAAATTCTGGATCCTTTACAAAAAAATTCAAGCCAATATCTCAATTACATTCAAAAATATGTTCATTTAAACCTGTATCCTTTAATTTCATATTTTTCATATTTTAGTATTAAATATGACAGAACATATTTAAATCTTATATTTACCTATTTTCTATTTGTTTGCTTATCCTTATAATTGAAAGGTCCTATTATGCTTAAATTTTCAGAAATTTATAACTATTTTTTACCTAAATTTTTTCGACAGATCATTTCGTTCTGTTTCGTTTATGATCATGTAGGTAAAAATATACAGGTAATAATAATTTCGATTCATTCACTGTATGAGAATTAATCAAACTACACTTTTGATTTTAACTTAAATTTATTAAATAAGCAGCTTGGCTGTAAACTTTATCAAACTTAAATTCGATTATTAAGCAGCTCGGCTTTAGACTTAATTACGCAGCAAGGCAGATGATATTATAATGTTATCAGTTTAATGTTTTTTAACAGAGTATCAAAAAATCAAGAATAGTAATATAATTTTAAGTCGTAGTTAATATGTACCAAAATTTCCAAAATCAGTATAAATAAAAACCGTTATTATACTTAAGTACAGAAGTAGGTAGATTAAAAGAAGAAATATATAATTAATACAAAATTTACAATGAGAATGAACAATGTAATTAACATGATGTACATTACATAAATTAACAG